AAAAATGTAATTTAGAAAATATATTATTACAGTTAGGTCTAGGAGTGTGATTTTGATCAGGAAGAATCTTATTTTAGTGATTTACAAATGGAACAAGAGAGGCGAGAGTGCTTTTAAAAAAAAAGTTTAAAAAAAAAGCCGGCCATAGCCCACTTCATATAAACATACCATTAACTGGAACAACAATCTCCTCCTTTCCACCTTCCTCTCCTTTGTAGCTGTAGCGTTGTTTCGCTGTCTTTTAAACACATTCTCCTTTTTTATTGTATTTGTTGCATTTCTGCATTCAAATCTCTAGTTCCAGTGGGGTGAAAGAGGCACTTCCTGTTTCCTTTTGTCATTTTGACTTGTCTAATCCGTGCTCCACTGATAATGGCTTTTCATACTTGCTGCGCATGCGCTTAACTCTGATTGGACCTACCGGTAGGTAAAATTGATTGAACTAATTGATAGCAGCCATTATGAAACTGAACAATCAGAGTTCCCAACTTTTGGCTAGATCAACTTAGAGTTGCGGATTTGTATCTGAATTTGTTACCCCTTCTTTATGAAACGGACCCCAGGTGAAAGAGGGAAAAATGTTCTTGCGGAAACTATTAAAAATAGCAGGTTGTTGCAGTTAATGAAGATTAATAATCTAACTGCTTGACTTGGTTTATTGATCCATAACCATTCTCGAAATCTAATGGAAATATATCTGTAAGTATTACTAGTCTGGGTAAAATCTGACCCGTCTGCTAACTGCTGACTTTCATTTCAAGTAGCCAGGCTTCCCTTGATCCCAGCATTTTGTAGTTAAATGTCTTTCACTGCTTTCACACATTTATGGCAGCTGGACAGTAGCTACACTGCAAAAAAAAATTTCAATCTTAATAAGTCAATTTTTCTTAAAATAAGTGCATTTTTTCTTAAATTGAGGAGGTAAGTGAGACACTTTGCCAAGATAATTTACATTTAAAATAAGAAAAAACAATTGCATTGTCTTATTTCAAGTAAGTTTTATCTAATTATCTTATTTCAAGAATAAAAATACTCATTCCATTGGCAAATCCTCTTACTTATCTGCTCAAATTAAGGGTAAATACACTTAATTTAAGAAATCTTTACCTATTTCTAGATTGTTTTTGCAGCATAATAGGGTCTCTAATATCCAGAGGAGACCTGAGAGACATTTTTGTTCTTTAGCTAATCCATCTATACTCTGCCCTGTTTTTATCTAATGTTGTAAATCATTTTTTTTTTTTTCTAAAATACCATCTAACAGGTGATAAACAGAAGTGGATTGGGCTAGGTTTCTGTAATTACGTAAACTTCAGGGCAACAAAAATATTTTGACAAATTCAACTCTGCAAGAAATCTGCTTTCGTTTTTTTGCAGAAATAAACAAGGTGTTTTTTTTGCAGCCTTAAAAAAGTGATCATATTTTAGCAATCTATAGGCAGTAACAGCTTATATATTCTTTTCTTTAGCATGGCGCTGTGTTTTGTGATGGAGTTAGAATAGATCTTTTTCAGATGTCCCGTTTCTGTTCAGCTAAGCAGCCCATTTGATTTAATATATTAAGTTTTGCACTTTGGTTAAGGTGATTATTAAGAGATTATTTCCAGATACACTAACTGTAGTTTCACCTTTGACTTATGAAATTATGCCTAAATTTCGTAAAGGAAAAAATAAAAATTGCATAGAATGAAAGTATCCACTTTGAAAGACTATTAGTTGCACTGTGATAAATATTAAATAGAATTGTTATGGTTGTCTTTGAACAGTATTTTTTTATTATAAGAATTGTTGTCTGCACGTTTTTGTATATATTGAATTGAATTGATTTAGTGCAAAATCTAAAAGTCTCTAAGAAATCTCCCCAAGGCAATAGTAAAATAGGTGTATGTATACTTTGATCAAATGATCAAATCTTTAAACAAATTGTTTCATATTTTATTCAGAGGTATCAGAGTAATGTGAGCATGCCAGACCTGTTAAATTACTTTTGCACAGCACTCTATAACACAATACTGGAGCGGTGCAGTGAGGCCATTCTCTACAGCTGACACATTCGGCTATGCATGACTAGTTGCCCTATTGCTGTTCAAATAGAAGAGCGTTGTAAATGCTCTCATTTGACTGTTGGAATGTATTCCCCCAAAATGTTGAACTCCTTTTAAAGATTCATGTTGCCCTGCAGGTGTGATGCTAATGAGTTTAATTTAGATGACAGCATGATCCTGTTAAATGTACTGCTGCCAGAGCGAAGGGTGGAGGCATCTCTCTGCTGCTTTACAATGAGAGGTTTTACTCGGTGTTCCCGTTACAATGAGCTGTCTTTATAAACGCCTCTCTACATGTTTTGTGATAATGCAGGCAATTTGTTATGCATTAGACAAGTGGCCACAAGTTGTTCTCAGTGGACTTGATTTTGCCCGTATCTAAAGGGATCTTATGAAAAGGTGTCTGCCACTTTCAACTTTTTCTTTGTTGTTCTCATTAAGCTAAGCCTGAGGCTTTGCATAAATCACTTGAGACTCGATGTCTGAGCTATAGAAGTGAAGGTTATGAAGTGAAACTTCACCATGTTTTGCTAGAACAGCAACCACATAATATTTATGCTTTCTCTTTAAGTACAGAGTGCATAACTAATGAGACTGAAGAGAGAGATTGGTTCTGTACACTCAATAGTTGTGTTGATGAGCTGACTGCGGCGACACTGCTGAGGAGAGTTGGACTAAGGTTAGAGTCATGCAGCAGGTCAGTTTATTATTAAAGATAGGCTCTGTGTAAGCACCCTGATGCTCTATCTCTCCAGTTCTTTTCCCTGAAGAGAGATCACTCAGGACAATTGCTAACATACATTTTTTACTCAAAAGTTCTTATATTTCTACTATTGCTGCCAAGCTGCTATTAAGATTAGGGCTGCAACTAACAAGTAGTTTGCAAATTAATTAATCTTTCGATTTTTTTTTTTTGATTGATCGATAAATAATCGGATAGACAAAGGCTCCTTAAAGAAAACTTTTTGCGAAATTAAACCAGTGGAATTAAAACTTTTCCTCTTGAGGAGTTCTGGATAGTACATATAGACAGGCAAAAACATTTGTATCTTAAATACAAAATATTTACACTTTTCTTTTATTGTGATATAATTAATGCTCTTAACTCCAGTTAATGATTAATTGATTACTAAACTAGTAGACGATTATTTCAATAATCGATTAATCATGATTAATCCGATTAATTGTTTCAGCCCTAACTAAGACCTTTAAACATGACAGGCTTGATAAAGCAAACTGCATGATATCTATCCTCAAGAGTTCTTAGTTTTAAATACTGTTACACTGTCACACGGTGTAAGCTTAGAAGCATTTTTATCGTCGATTTTGTTTTCTTATTTACTATATTTATAATGAATAATAACATTATTAGATTTTGCATTTCAAAATTACATTAATCTGCAAAATCCAAAACATTATAAGCCCTTTTAAGAACTGAGATTTAAGTTAGAAGTCCGAACCCTGTTGGTCAGTAAAACTGAGGGTTTTTATTTGGGTTAATATTTATACTATATAAGCAACAGTTAGGATTTCAGCTTGTAATTTAGAAAACTATCTGACAAAAACCTAAGAATTCAGTTTCCTGATGAAAAAAGTAGCTGATATGGAAAACACAAATAAGAACAATGATAGATATCACAATATCAAAAGATGATTTCCAAAGGTATAATCACAGATTTTTTCTAATATTAAATAATCTAAAACAGTACTGTACTAAAAAGTAATCAACAAAAATAGTTTTCTCTTCTTTTCTTCTTCTTTGTAATTCTCCTCATGTAATTATGCCCATCATCCCCCTCAATCACTAATTTCTAAACTGTCACCATTGCTCCATCCTATTATCAGCCTCCTTCAATCTTTCCCTCACTCACCCCAGATAGCTGCATGGTTATGATGCAAAATGATTGCCACTGCATGCTGACACAAGCCTGATTAATACCCGGCAAACATCTAGGTTGAGAAATACGTCCAAACAATGTCCAAGCCGGAATGAGGGCTGGTAAGTTCTTATTTTTAGTTTAAAAGAGCATGTTTTTTTTTAGCTCTAACTGGCAGATTTACAAAAGCCTTTTGCAATGGGCAACAAATCAACAAATAAACTGCTATTTACAAGCATAACATATTTTCCAGATGAGTTACACTGCAGCAGGACCTTTAATGTGCAATTAGAAATAATTTAAATGAATAATTGAATATTTTTCCACAGTGGAAAAATTTAGGATGTATCAGCAGCAAATCCAAGAAAAAAGGGGAAAACAATTTATACTGAATCAAATGGAACAGATTATGCTTCAGTTTTGGCCTTCAGGCATCTTGCGTCATTTAAAGACTTTATTTGCATTCTTATTATTTTCTATCCCGTTTATGGGACATAGATTAATTACCTGACAAGGATAAAACTGCTCCATGTAAATGTGGTCTCACTAAATCAAGGCTGTGCTTAAAAACTGAGTGCAATCTGAATAATATCTATGTGTGGCCTTTTATAATCAAAAGCAGATATTTTATTCATTCAACCCTTAAGTCTGGGGAGCCTTTTTCATTCAAAAGTTGGAATTATTTTTGTGTATAAAGATCCTGCAAACTGTCTTATTTCTATGCCTCAGGGAGAATGAATGTGTTTCACTTTGACTATGATGCATTTGATGTTAAATAATAAATGAAAGTGCGTGTAGTGAAATATAAAAACTATTGCTGCAATATTGACTGTTGGTTAGCTGAGGTGAAGACAAATTAGCAGTGCTTAGTTATCAGCCATTTGACAGAACTGCTCTGAAATAACTTCTAGAGAATTTTAGTCAATGTGAATTTGTTAGACTGAAAAACCACACAGATCTTTCTTTTGCTGAAATCTTAATAAGATGTGTCAAAGAACTTAAAAGTTATTGCTTATTTTTACAACTTTAAAGAAGTACGCTTAATGTGTACTTTCTCTTTTTTCCCACCCTTCTTTAGACAACCTCCATCAGACACTGGGCCTAAAGCAGGAATGCAAAGCACCCACGGAGCGGGCGACAGGTTGGCCTTCCACGATTCCAGTCAACATGCTGCGTCTCAAGGGGAGCAGGGACAGGGTCATGTGTCCAGGAAGAATCTGCAGGTCGACTTGGGCGGCGGCAGAACCGGAAGGTCCCCTTCTGCATCCCCAGACCGTGGGAGCGTCCCTACTTCCCCTTATTCTGTGCCTCAAATTGCTCCGATGCCCAGCAGCAAACTTTGTCCTGTCTGCAAAACCACCGACCTGATGGGTAATGGGGACGACAAACCCAGCTTCAACACCTGCACACAGTGCCACTCCATGGTGTGCAACCAGTGTGGCTTCAACCCCAACCCTCATCTTACAGAGGTAGGCAGCAGCCTTTTAAGGGATATTTTACTCTTTTAAGCAGTTTTTTTTTTTTTTTTGCTGTTTTATTGATTTAATCATTCGTTTTTATTAATTTTTTAATAAACTTTAGTGATATAATACTTGATATAACACAGAAGTTACATCGTGCTAAGGTTGGAACAACAGGATATTCATGATTAAAGAAAAATAGCCAAAATATTTTTTTTGTCAAAAATGACAAAAACATCATCTTGTTTTAAATTAAATGTGTTAAAGGTAATTTTCCAGGATGGTAATATGTTTAAAATGTTGTACAAGAGAACAATCAGATAACAGTATTTTACCTTGCTTTCTATTCGTTAAAAACATACCGATTGCTGCATGGTTGATTCTAAAAGTTTCATTATATAATATATAAAATATAAATCAATGTAGTATTGCATGCACAAGGGTATTTTAAAGCATACTGCGGTTAAATTATCATTCTGTGGAACGATTGCTCTAATCAGTGTTGATGTGCAGTTTTGATGATGACTATTGTTGCTGAGTTGGCTCTGACGGCCTCACAGTCTGTAATGCACCAGCTGAACAAGAGGGAACATGTGAGATCGGTTCCATGCTGGCTGAGAGCTGTGAACCTTTTGTTCTAGCAACACTTTGCCTTGATTTCTGAAATCTGTTGAATATAATTTGCAACTCTTAAGATGTGTTAATGTAGAAGAAATAGTGCAATCTGAGTCCTAAAAAGAGAAGAATTCATCAATCTGGTTGTATGATTAATTCATGTTATATAACACAAAATAGTCAATGTTGGCTTTACATGATGTTAAGTGATACTCCTCTTCTCATTTAGAAATGGGCTAATCCTTTGTTGTGGTAACAGAATCTGACAATATACATTTTCTGCAATCCCCCTTATTATCTTTCTCACTGTGTGGGTTGGCAAGATAAAGTTTGTCTTTAGCTAATCCGTGCTTGCCACAATTCTGGTAATTTTACTACTTATAAAGCAGTAGTTGCACATTTAGAAAAATAAATATTTTGGTAGCTATTTCCAAAAATTAGGTGCAGAGGAGGACAATCCAGGTCCAGCAATGAAAAAGTCTGTCCAGACAAAAGTTCCAACCATTAACATTTCCAGCCCAACAACACAGACTTTAGGGTATTCACCCATTTAAAGAAACAGGATGAAGGGAAACTAGACAGGGCTTTTACTGTCTGGACTTGGATCATCCACCTTTGGTCAGGTGTCACAGTAAGTCCTATCTTGTCATCTATGTTGCTGTATCTGAAAAAAAAAAAAAAAAAAAATCACTGTGATAAACGTGAAAAAATGAAATTGATAGAGAAAAATAATTCCTCCTTGAAGATGAATACTTTGAATACTGTATCATTTACCCTTGCATTTGATATATTTAATGTGTACTAGGATGAGGAACGTAACATTTGCTACGTAAATATTTTCAACAATTATTATTGTCTAGTGTTTCAATAACTGCACCCTTCATTTTCGAAAGGGATTGACCCATGATATTAAGAGTCTAGCTGGATTTACTCAGAGAGAGCAGTTAAGTCTTTTTCTATTTTTATTTGTTTTTATTTCCCACTTTGTGATTAATCATTTAGACAACAGGTAGGTAAAAACCTTAGGACAGAAGGACCTGACAGTTAGTGAACACATAATATTCAGAACACACACAAATTATAAATGGAATGAGAATAATTGAACAAATCTAATTCCCATATATCCATAACAGAGTCTTATGAAATGTACTAGGAGTCTTAAGCATAAGTTAATCAAAAGTATCACTATTACCAAAATGTACTACAATATTGCACCTTGCCTAAATATAAAAGCATAAATATCATCCGATATAACCCCATAACGCACAACATTGATGCACATATCCTAAAAACTATTAACATTACTGCAGCCATTTCCAAATCCAGTTGTAAAAACCAAACGAGGAGGACTCCACTCACAATACACACACTAAATTAAACACAGCAGCAGCAGTAGGATCCTACATAACAGTCAAATTTCTTACTAGCTGCCTCTTCAGTTTTTCATCAATGAGTCTTCAATTCTCTGCAGTTAGTTTGATGCATGAGTCTCTCACACAACTTGCAAGATTATGCAGCTGCCTTCCTACGAATCATTTATGCCCTCAACAATGTCTGTCAGGCAAAGAAATTCAGGTGTGCTCACACCAGTGGCCACGCCCTGTGCTGCTAATAATTTGCAGGTCAGTGCAACACTTATTGCTTGATTCTTTTCTTTTTCTTCTCCATGCTTAAAGATTACCTTATGATCTTATGCTAACAGTTTGGCTCTCTATACAAAGAGGCTCCAAGTGATCATATAAGTAGCTGACCCNACATCCCCTAACCAAGGAAAAAAGTCCCCCTTCTTCTCATCATCTACTAGGATTTGGCATGCAGAGATAAGTGATTGATCATCAATGCAGACAGAGCATCTGTATCATGTAGAATGGGACCAAAGAGTAGGTATGCCCCAAATTAACTTTGATTTTTTTTATAGTGAACTTTATAAATGGGGTCTTAAGGGTTCTGTCTATATGTCTCAGTGTAAATGTTAATTTGTTTGTGTAATTTCTGCAGTATTTGACCTAAAACCATCCTGGTTCTGCCCTTTTGGGCTGCTGCAGTAGAATTTCCATATTGTTTGGAAGGGGTTTGGTTGATATCTGCATCAGAACTTTGAGGTTCCATCCAAACCCATCCATCCAAACTTTTTTTTCGGGTAAGGATTTTACCAATTAATTAGCATAGTGTTTAAAAGAAGCATTATTTTCTAATGATGGTGCCTCCTGTGGCAAAACACAGAACTGCAGCACTCTTCTGTGCCTTCTCATAACTTGTACCAGGAAAAAAGGTATTCAAATATGCAATTCAGTTAAATAAAGAAAATAGATGGTAATTGAATCAGTCGACATTTTACTAACCTTCTTTACAAAGAGAGAACAAAACAATCCTAGCAGCCCTAATAGCTCAATGTTCTACCCTGTTCTGTTTAGAAAGAAATCCCTCTCACTAACTTAAACCCTACAGAAAAGCTGTGAATGTTGTCTGCATGTTTAATCAAGATAATTACTGACAGTTAAAACCGTGAGAACAGTCTTTTTTCTATCCTAAACATTCCCTTATAGGATAAACAACTTCTCTTCCTTAGTCACCTTGTAGCCTTGCAGCTCTGAGGCCTGAATGAATGTTTTTATAAGTTAGTAAATGTAAAATCAGCTCTCATAAATCCATATATGTAAAAGGGAATTAATAAAATATTGTTTTTTCTCACCACAAAAGATTTCTTTTTTGTTCACTTGACCTGGAGTTGCTATTGGTGTCTGAGTTGAGCTGGAGGCTGGCCAGTTTGGAGTATCCAAAAAATCCATCTTGAATATAATGCTTTGATTGTTTGCTAGGTTGGACCCATCCAACATGGACGCGCTTGACTCCACATTTGCTGAACAGCACAAAAACTTCTAACCCAAAGTAAATTCAGGAAAACAGGCTACAGGCTTATACAGTAAATGTATTGTCCCTGAACTACTGAGGTGTCAGTCTGCTCATCAAACTGTTTTAGTAATAAAGGGTTAAATAAAAAGGGCATTTTAAAGATCTATCTCTTAGTAAAATACTATACATAATATCTCTTAATTAATACTAAACCAGGCCTATACCCTTCCACTTATTCACAGTCTTACCTCTCACCGTCCCTCTCAGTGTCTCTTCACACTGCCTGCTTTGGGAAATTATTCTAAATTGGTCTTAGGTTGGGATTTTCTTTTTACATCGAGTTTTCTACTTTAAGCAATCATATTGAGTTATTGCATCATTATTTCCTATCAAATATCTTATTAAGGCAGGAATTAATTAAACAAATTTCAATCATAAATATCAATCACATTCAGTTATATACATCTTTAATACAGTGCACGAATATTCAGTTTACAGCATCATTTAAATAGGAAACTTAGAATATTCCATTGGGTCGTTGAATGTGCAGTAGAATTGCATTTCATTGGTGATATATTATGAAGATCAACCAAAAAGTTCATAAATTGAGTAATATCTTCTCTAGTCTATCTATGAAGTCTTGCTGAAGAAATCAGCCTCTTGTATTACATATTTGAAACGCTGTAAAGCAAGAAGTCATAATTTCCAACATATTATTTGTTAGGAATGTGGATAATTTTGGCAAGAAGATAGATAGATGTTAGAGAAAATTATTTCTTAGTGTACAACACGGGTTAAAGGCTGGACTTACCAAGTTACAGGTTTCAAAATACTGAAAGAAAGGTATTAAAAGATGTGGGTAAATACCCTAAAAGGACAACCAAGATGCCTGTAAACGACCAAGCCAGGTCAGGAAATGTAGTGTTCATTAGCTATTAGCACAGAGATGGACTGCAGTGTTGCAAACCAAATCTAAAGAACTCCAAGGCTCACTGAAGTATACTAAGGGCATCAATATTATTACATACTGGGCCTGAAAATGTTTTAGGACCTTATTCATCTTTAACGCAGTTGCTGGTTAAAAAAAAGGGAGCTGAGGCCCATTTTATGAACAGGTAGTTGAGAAAGCCTTTTGCCTCTATCCCGAATTAAGCCCCTTTCCTATGAATTAGGCCATGCCTCAGTGTTACTGTGGATCAAGTGTGGCTGTGTCATCTGTCACAAAGTTTCACATCAACTTCAATGAGTCATTTGGCAAATTTGCAACAATGCAACATTAGTATAGCTGGCCTATAGGCTCTGGGAGCAGCCAGAGGCTCTTTACAAACCAAGTTATCGAAAATATATTAATATTTTTTGAACAAATGCAGTGTTTATGTAAATATATGGGGTAATGGCTGTGTTTAGGCTTGAGTGCCCTTACGCATGACTGTAGTATAACTCAGGAGGCTGCCATTGTTAGAGGGAAGGAAAGCAGGCGAGAAAGGCATAAAAAGGACATGGGAAAAAACCCAACAATAAAGCAAGAGACAGAAAGCGGA